TAGTTAGTTAGTTAGTTAGTTAGTTAGTTAGTTAGTTAGTTAGTTAGTTAGTTAGTTAGTTAGTTTTTATTTATGAAGCGCCTTTCACAGAAATATATTCACAAGGTGCTGTAAAATCATTAACAGCATAAAAATGGTGGGAATAATAAAATGAAACAGAAAAACATGAAGAATGATGGTGGAGGACACATAAGTAACGAAAAACTGAAAAATCAAATCAAGAAAATAATTTCAAAAATTGTAAATCAAACACAAGTTCAATGCAGTTTAAAATATATAATAATATAGAAAAACACAATGAATGCGGGAGAATAAAATATGGTGTAAGTCAGTAGTAAATAAAACAGATTGTGGAGCATTCACAATGGAGGTAGGCCTGCAGTAATGATGAAATGGTTAGCTAAATGCTTGAGTGAAAAAGTGTGTTTTTTGGAGTGACTTGAAAGAGACAATGTTATCAACGGAGCGCAGATTAAATGGGAGTTCATTCCAGAGCCYGGGGKCCACAGAGGAGAAGGCACGGTCACCACGGGTCTTAAAGCGAGTGAGGGGAACCATAAGGAGATGCTGATCCTGTGAGCCGAGGTCCCACCTGGGGTTGTAAGGGGAAATGAGACATTTAATGTATTCAGGTGCTTGGCCATGAAGAGCTCTGAAGGTGAGGACCAGGATTTTGAACTGGATTCTTAATTGAACCGGAAGCCAGTAAAGTTCTGCTAGGATTGGGGAGATGTGGGTGAATTTGGAGATTCGACTTAGGAGTCTTGCTGCGGAGTTTTGGACAAGCTGAAGGTGAGTTAACTGTTTCTGGTTAAGACAGGTGAACAAGCTATTACAATAATCTAAATGGCTAGAAATGAAAGCATGAATTACCATTTCCAAGTCTGAAGTGGACAACAGGGGTCAGAGTTTTGAGATGTTCCGAAGCTGAAAGTAGCATGTAGAAACCAGAGACTTTATGTGTTTATCTAAAGACAGATCTGAATCAAGATTTACTCCCAGGTTGTGCACATTCTGCTGAACAGTTGAACTCAGAGAGCTGAGATGTTCTTTTATCTTTGGGATTTTATTTTCAGGGGCCAGGATCAGTGTCTCTGTCTTACTGAGGTTTAAAAGTARCAAGTTGTCAGACAGTCACTGGTTAACTTTAGTGACACATTTTATAAGAGAGGTGAGCTTGTGAGTGGTGGAGTCATTAAAGGAGCAGTATAGCTGTACGTCATCTGCATAGAAATGGTAGATGTCTGGGAAATTGCCCTAAAACCACTTCTCGGTTGACACTCTGGGTGCTAAGGTTACAAGATTTCATTTTCGAAGTTCGATACAGAAAAGGAATGCATAATGTAGTGCCTGATGCAATGTCCTGAACTATGCCTGCAGATGCCACCAGAACAGCACATGTGGTCCTAAACTCTGCTAAATTAGGATTACCATTATCATTAGCAGACATCAAGGAATCTCAGAAAAAAAGATTCGGCCCTCATGGATCTGGTCCAGGATCCAAAATACCAGAGACCTGATAGAATTAATTTCTGCAAAGTCCATGATCTCTGATGTCGAAACACCCCTGTGAGGGATGGCATAAAATATCAGCTGGTGGTCCTCAAGTCTTTGGTTCCTCAGTTCCTCCAGTATTTCCTTCAAAAGGAAAACCTCCTGCTGTACATATCTGATTGAGTGTATCTCTCTCCCGCGCTGGACACCCCACCCCCTTAATCTTTTTCATCAATCACACCTGAATCCATTCATGATCTTGCCCAAAATAAGTTCCAAACAGTGAGGAATATTAGATAATCCATAATCAAATAACTGAAACTGTTCTAACAAACAGTTGCCGTATTTATGTACCACATTTTTTCTTTGAAATGAACATAAACATAATGGTTATGTTACACCATTACTCCCCCTCTCCCGCCCGCAAAAAAAAAAACCCAAAAAAACACTGAGGTTTAATCAAACTTTCTCATCCGTTAGATAAATGACAGATTAAAATCACTCAGTGTTGTGAGCTACTCAAGATCCATAAATGGTTAAATAATTATTTTTCTTAACCCTAACCTAACCCCCTAACCTAACCTTTCTTTTGGCTCTTTACAGTTTGCYCACCCCTGAACTAATCACACAGATACATGCCTAAACCTAACCACACAGGATTCTACATACAGTCCCCTCCAAAAKAACTGGAACAGCAAGTCAAATTTTCTRGTGATTGTTTACAGTTCACTGAGGTTAAGCTAGTCTTATTTTCTGTTGTAGATGTGTACTTTGGAGTTATTAATATAGTGTTGGTCCACCAGTTTAGGGGACTAGTTTAGCTGTGGTTGTACTCTCTGTCATGGTGCTGTGTCATGTGGGTGACCCATAATGCTTTGCAGTTGAGTAGGGGGCATGGTTTATTGTGGTGGAGGGTTATTTTTTTGGTTGATCGTTTTGTGGTTTGCTGGGGATTGGTGGATTGGTTTTAATGTTTGGGCCCTGTTTTTGTAATAGTTATTTTGTTGTTCTAAATAGTATTTGTGGCTCTTGAGGTCTGAAATTTACACAGGCTTGGAATTTTAGGCCTCTGCTTTCGGGTCAAAATGCTTTGTTTGGTTCAGGGTTCTTTATGGAGGACTCTTTTAAATATGTAGAAACCTGTGTTGTTAGGATATCTGTGTGGTTAATTGTAAGTAAGGGGTTAGGGTTGGGCATGTAAGAAAAAGCTTGGTGCTGTTTTCTGGTCATTGAAATTGAAGGCATCTTTGCACTTATCCACCATTCTTCATCTTGTTCTTCTCAGTACCCTGTGGAGTATCCTGACAAGTTCCTGAAATTTGGAATGACCCCATCTCGTGGGGTTTTGTTCTATGRACCCCCAGGCTGTGGAAAAACGCTTTTGGCAAAGGCCATCGCCAATGAGTGTCAGGCAAACTTCGTCTCCATCAAAGGCCCCGAGATGCTCACCATGTGGTTTGGAGAATCTGAGGCCAATGTCAGAGACGTGTTTGATAAGGTGAGTTGTAGTTTTAAGATTGTTGTGCTCACTGCAGATATTTTTGGGTTTTACATGGTACCAGTTTGAGCCCTGTTTCTCTTTCTCTATAGGCAAGACAGGCAGCCCCCTGCATCTTGTTCTTCGATGAATTAGACTCCATTGCTAAATCCAGAGGCGGAGGAGCAGGAGATGCAGGTGGTGCAGCTGACAGAGTCATCAATCAGATTCTAACAGAGATGGATGGCATGTCCGACAAAAAGAACGTTTTCATCATTGGTGCAACAAACAGGTAGAGGCTTGGTTTTTATGTCTGGATGAAAAAATAATGAGGACTAGAGGAAAATTTGTGCTGATCTCTTTTCTCATGACACCAGACCAGACATCATAGACCCAGCCATCCTGCGACCGGGTCGACTGGACCAGCTCATTTACATCCCGCTTCCGGACAAACCGTCTCGCACAGCAATTCTGAAAGCCAACCTACGTAAATCACCTGTTGCAAAAGTAAGTTACAGGAAGACACATTTCTTAATTTGTTCATTTTTCTCATTTCACTGTGCAAGAGTTTATGACTRTACTCCCTCACTATTTTTTATTTTTCCATTTTCTTGGAAAAATGATTAATCCAGACCACTGATTAATCATTTTTAATGATTAATCAATGGTCTTGATTAATCATTTTTTAAGTATTTCTCTATGTCTTTCAAACTTTGGCTGATTTCTCCCTCATTTTTGTCCCAGTAAAAGACTAAGTTGAGGACAACATATAAAAGTCAAGCTTAAAATTCTATCGGCAGAAGATAAATTAAAAATGAAAACAAGATAGAACTCGATGCCAAAGCATCGGCTAGTATGCCTCCGCTTGCCCTAGACTCATCTGCATTTAAAGCACTGGGCAGTTACCTGTTTACCTCTATTTTTGGACTTAAATAGTCTAAGAAGTATGTAATTATATCAACAATGTGTAAACATGAGTACCTCTTTGATATTTACCATATCATTAATTTCAGTGACTAACCACTTACATGTACCATTCAAAATAAGTGGATTCAAGCAATAAAGATCACTTTGCCTGACTTTCAGCTTTGACCTTTGACCCCAAATTATTTTCAGACTTCCGTTGGGCCAAGAACAATTATCTTGTTAATTTTGACTAAAATCAATAGCTTTGTTCAGGATATTCAGTGTGCACAAAACAGTGTGACAGATGGAATTTTGCACCTGGTAATGCACAGAAGAACAACCAGAGAACAGTATGCCTCGTCCGGCTGAGGCATAAAAGTTATGTAAAATGGCCTACTGTTAAACGCTGGCAAAAGGTATTACAAAACTTGGTGCCATTAGAATATTAAACATGCGTTTTACATTCTAAGACAGACTTTTCTTTGAAGTGTGAGAACCATATTTGGAGTATGTCAAACCTGAAATTGCAACAAATTTCATTTTTTCAGGGATTTGCTTAAGTTCATGTCCCCCCCCCCCCCACAC